GACTCTGCCGCCTTTGTTTCTGCTTCTGATGAAGATGTCAATTGTTGGTTTGGGGCATTCTAGTCCTCTTTCTGTTGCGGATTTCTCCTGTCCAACTGTTTTGGAGACGCATCGCATTTTTGGCAATCTGCGTAGAGGGCGGTTTGATGCCAGGATCGGGAGGATACCTGCATGATGATCCTGTCTCTCGGCTCGTTCTGGCTTGCATCAGGCAAAGAGTTTCTCTGACACGCTGGGTGTGGAAATTTACCAGACAAACCTGGCAAGGAAATCAATGGAGGAGAAGATCTCTAATGTCACTTGCCCGGATTATAAGAGCACAGGTTCGGCTCAGTGTTGGCAATCGAGACATCTCCCAAGTTCAGGCTAGCAAAAAGGCCTAGGGAGAAGCTAACAATTGCTCCACCAGTTTCTATTCTTGCTCACTCCCCTCTTGACAGCCTACTTTTTGGGTTCAAGTGTCCAAAGAGTAGTTTCACAATGTTCCACAATGTTTCACTCACCTCAGACCTCTGGACTGGACCACTTGTAGGAATCGAAGCACCTGCAGACGCTTTTGGGTGAGCAGCGACTTCACCTTGAGCAACAAATCCGTGGACATGTGCCTCAGCTTGAGCGGATGACGAGACGGTCGAGGACGGATGACATGGGTTGTCAACTGAACGGCAACTTATTGGGGGCATGACCTTCTCAAATGAACTTCTCAATGTCAACGTTTTGCCTTGAGCCTAAGGACAGAGAGCTCCAAGCAAGCCTGGTGTCGGACTTGGATTGTCAGCTCTACGCTTTGATAGCCCTATGTCTGTCAAGAGGGGAACATCCAGAGGTCACTAACTGGTCTGAGTCATTGGAGGCTCCCGGTGTTGCGAAGCTGACCGCATGGCCAGGAAATCGCTGTCACCAACTTCGCGGAGAAGCATTCCAAGGCTCTAGTGTGGGTAGGATTTGGGCTGACCATATCAAGGTGGGAGTGGTAAATGCACAGTTTCTCTAAACTCTAAACTTTAAGCGGAATTCTTCCAGCCTATGTCAGCTGTTCGCCGTTTGCGGATTGTGTCAAGCTGCTGTACAGTTTTGGCCTTCGACCCTGGACCTGCAGAGGATGTGGTCTCCACTCGTCATGACTTGTTGGAGCTGCGAGAAGAACTTCAAGAGGCTGAGAGAAATTACAATATATCATTACATCAATATATGCAGATATCGTGTCCTTCATTGCGTTTGAATTAAGCCCACCGCACTCTGCACTTTCCACGGAACGTCCAAACACGTCACTGCACTGCGGACCGTGGAGCCAGGCGAATCGAAATCAATGTGATCAGCTTCCTGCGGCTTGGCACTTCGAAGAGGTCGCCAGGTTTTGACAGCTCAGCGCTTGTGCGTAATCACATGCATTCGTTGAATAAAGATGCAAAGATGCAATCGCACCACAATGTACAAGGTGTGAATCGATGCAATGCACTCTTTTGGTTTCTTCACCCCCGGTCACTTCAGTTTCGATGCCCATCTTGTCAAGGCCAATTCGCAAGGTGAGCTGCAACGCCTCGTTGATGGGCAGACCAAGTTATGGGCGACGCTTGATCAGGCGGGTGTGGGTCCTTTGTGGGTCCCCCTGAGTCCACCAGTGACTAGCTTGAAAGGAACCAGGTTCAGGTATGTCATGTTCAGCTTGTGGCTTGTGTTTTCGCCTTTTTTGTTCGTTATATAAAAGTTGGGCAGCACAGCAAGACTTTGCCTTCCCATTGGCCCACAAGAGCTCAGCACCTTCGAGAAGAGGTGCGCCATGATCTTGGCGAGCAGCTCCGGCATAAGGATCATTCTCATCGAATATCCTTGGGCGGAGGCATATTTCGGGGGGGGGCAGCCGGCTGACGCGTGGACATGACTTGAATCAACTTCCATTAGTAGAAGTATCCTGCTACTGGCTGAGCCATTCACCCTACATCAGCCTTTGGCATCTTTTGCTCTCTTTTGCGCTGCTGGCCTAGGGCTAAGCCCCTTGGACATAGAGGAGCTCAGAACACAGCTGGCTTCAGAGCGCTTGGCGCGGGAGCAGGGGGATGACCGATGTATGGAGAACATCAGAGACCTGGTCACTGAGGAGCGGGAAGTCAGGGAAGTTGGACAGGGGGGGGGGAAGGCCGCTAGGAGGGAGAAGTAGCTAGTAGCTTAAGCAGCTACTACTTAGGACGCAGGATAGCCCGCTAATGATTTGGTTGGTAGATTTTTTAGGGACACTTATATATAAGTTGCACCATCTATCAGTCACAACGATGCATGCTGAAGGAACTTGTAATTGTGCCATTAACAAGCCCAGAGAAAACATATTTACAGTATGAGTAAGAGTAACAGTACATATATATATATATTATATGTGTTTGTGAGTTTGGCTAGCAGCATGTCACTACAACCCACTGTCAAATTCAAACCTGTTTAGCTTGTGAGGGGGTGGTCATCCTGTCTCTATAAGCAGGGTGAGCATGTGGATGAAGATGTGAATCACGGCTGTTTAGCTTGTCGATCGCAGGGCGATGTTTGTGTGTATTTTTTCCCGTTTGTGTGATGCATCCTTGTTACTAGTAGCTACTTGCTCCTAGTAGTACGGCCAGGAGCACCTAGTAGCGTCTTTGCTCCTAGTAGCGATGCCAGGAGCCCCTAATAGCTTCTTGTTACTAGCTGCATAAGCACTTCGTGATGCATCCTTGTCCGGCACTGCATTCTTCAGGAGGAGCAGAAGCGTAGCCGTGAATTACAAGCCCTCGAACGACGCCTGAACAAAACAGAGGCGGGCCAAATCATAGAGCTTCAAGCACAGGCCAAAGTGACACACACAAGATGCAAAGCATGCAAAGTGATGCAAAGTGTACTACTGCAATACAAATGGCAGTGCGCTTCCCAAAGATTGAAGTGTAGTGTAGAGCTGCAAAAGCCATGTAAAGCCCCAAGTCCACCAGCGCCAGGACTCCAAGAACACGTTGTTGGTTTAGCCCTTAGAAGTTCTGCAGAACTCATACGCACGGCTGGGATGGAAAGCTCAGAGAGCCTGCCCATTCTGTTTGAGGCAGGGACTCGACCTGCCACAACATCTGCATGTCCGTCAGGCCATGAGTTTGCTGTCCGAAGGGTTGGTCAGTCGAGATCAGCAATTTTTGCCTTGCCCACGGCTTGTCTAGCTATATAGTCTTTATCTACTCCTCGTCTGCGTATATATATATATACATAACTTATATTAACTGATACTGTAGGATGATAATTTCGACAAGATGCCTCGTGAGACGACGGTGTCGAAGCCAGGGCACAAATTCAGGATCCCCAGAGGGATTGCGGGCCACCGCCAAAAGCTTCGAGATAAGCACAACTGGCACAACTGCTTCTATTTTGAGGAGGAGCAAGGACGCTACTAGGAACAAGTGCATCGCTACTAACAAGTGCCGTGCTAGTAGTAACAAGAAGCTATTAGAAACAATAAGCGAACAAGAAAATACACTGCTTCTATTTTGAGGGTTGGCAGGTGCTCAGATCGTCGCACAACTGGCACAACCTGCGGCCTGTCCAAAGCCACTTGGACAGTATGGAGGTGCTCCTCTTGCAGTTCGTTGCGAGCGAGATCCTTTATATATGTATATATACATATGTGGAGGAAGTTCTTTTTTTGGGAGTGAACAGTGGCTTAGTGTTTGATGTGGTTTGCCCGGTCTATTTTTGTGCCTGCCATGCATGGTGTCGAAAGACTAGATGTAGATTTTTGTAGATCAGCAACATACATTATATGCATGCTGAATCGCAAGGCTCGTCATAAGGCCACATAGCGTTTGGTGATGTGGATGGTGACCACAGCAAGAGAGGAACATCGAGACCTGCAAATTCCAACCTAATAGCAAAAGGAACCTAGTAGCGATGGCCTCTACCCTAGCCTATACTAATACGGCGTAAGAAGACATACAGTAGTTCAGTTGTGTGATCTATGGATATCTATGGTAGTGGTAGGCGTGTGCTTTTCGAGGATGATGTGCAGCTGGATATCAAGACCACTGGACTGTGTGACCCTTCAGCAGGCATAATGTGTTTAGCACCCTCGTCTCACAACACAGCACGTCAGCCTAGTGTCACGTGGAAAAGATTTGCATGGCAAGCCATGCAGCTTGACATAGGCATCCATGCCATGCAAAAGCGGCCGATGGCAATGCTGAGCTGCAGTGCCCGAATTAGTCAAGTTCCTGGCTCGCACAAGCGCGGCGACTCGGGGCCAACTCAGTGGTGGTTTTGGAAGACACGTATGGTTCGGAATGTTTTAAAAGTTTTCCCCTCCCTTCACATTCTGTCCCTTTTTTAAAGGCCTCGCGGACCTTTTATGCTCCACGTGTGTTATCATTGAATCTAGGCAAGCTAGGGCTTTCCTTGCTGCCGGGCCTGCTTTTTGTGCGGCATGCTCGAACCAAGACACCCAGGGCAGCAGACACTTGGGAGGGGCGGCCATCTCCAATGGCGCAGGCAGCCGAGAGGAGGCGATTGCCCACATGGTTGACCAAAGTGAGCAAAGGCAAAGATACGAAGGATGGTTCCAAAGATGATGAAGTGGAAGTTGTACCGGATGGTGTGCCTGGTGCATCAAAGGCCAACTTCTCAAGAATTTATGCCAGGGAGGAGTGGGATGGAGAAGCACTTTCAGGATTAGGCTCGCGTGAAGAAACAACACGAGAGTTTCGTTCCTTCTTAGAAGCCTTCCTGCAGAAGTACCATATCACTTCCATCGTTGACGCTGGCTGTGGCCACTGGCCATCTGGCTACCAGCGATTCATGCATTGGCAGAACGTGAAATACACAGGTGTAGACGTGGTGCCATATGTGGTGGAGGAGAACTCGCGCTTCTTCATGGAAGACTCTGAACTCCTTGAGTTGTACGGTTTGTCCAATGTGGAGTTTCAGTGTGGTGACGTGTCCGATGACTTGCCAGCAGCAGACCTCTTGATCGTGAAGGATGTCTTGATGCACTTGCCCAACCGAGCGGTACATAGCTTCCTGGAGAATAGTGTGGAGTGTCAGATTCCAAAGTACCGAGCAGTGATGCTAGTTCAAAACGCGGTCCCACCTGTTGCAATCCGTGACATGGTGGACATTCAGCCAGGGCAATTGCTTCCGTTTGACATCACATTGTCACCCTTCAAGGCTGGGGGGTATGTTTACTTTTTGTCCCTCTTTACGAGTTCAACAAGTTCCAGTCGCTCCACTGTTGCACCCTTCAAGGCAGCCTTCAAAACGGTCCTGCAATGGCAAAGCGATGAGCCGAAGGTCGTCCAACTGTGGGAGCCAAGGGACAGGCTTGGCACCCCAAAGATGGAGCCAAGCTGAAGGGAGGAGTAGTGCTTCCACCTCGGCAAAACGGCCCTCGACATCCACTGCGCCAGAGAAACGCACGAGAGAGAGAGAGAGAGAGAGAGAGGGGAAGCAAGCGAGGGAGCGGGGGGGGGGGGGGGGGAGCGTCGGCCCTGAGCCATAGCAAAGCTTGCTGAGGTTATCGAGCTTTTCCGCTTGAGAGGAGGTCCAGCGGAGCTTTGCCTCTGAACACAGGGCACAACGCTTTGTTCTTTTGGCACAGCCAGCCACTGACGCTGGGACTTGTGCGAAAGCTCTCCTTGTGCAAAGGCGCAGTTGCTTATAAGCCCAATGTGGCTCCTCACGCTGTGCTCCTCCACCGGAGTGTTTTTTCATCCACGACTCCGAGTCGGACCTCCTGGCCCATTAATCCATTGCAGTGTCAAACAGTTCTTGTTGCAATCAAGGACGGTGTTTTTTGAAGTTTCGGAAGTGGATCAGGAGCTCTCCCAGGCTGTTTGGGACGAAAGATCCCACAGTTGATGGCGGTCCAGCCATTTCGGCCTATTCTCGCTTCGCTCAGACTCTGACCAAAATGGCAGGATTGCAGGTCACTTGAATGACACACGACACACGATTGTTCCCCAAGTCTACTACAAGACCCAACATCACCGTATGAAGCATGCAGGACATGACACGACCCACAGCATTTGTGCAGAATTTGCTGTGAAAGGAGTAGACCTTCCAACCCAGCTTGCTTGCATTTGCTTGCATAGCTGTTTGCCGTTTCTTTGGCCCGAGTGAAGTGCACATCATTTGCAGGCTCGGCTCAAGTCGGGATGGGGCCGCGTTGAGTTCGGCACAGATGACCGTTCTGGTCCTGACAGGTTTCAGCCCCAGTTTTCGGAGCTCGCGCGACATCGGTCTTTTTGCCTTCGGTCGACTCACAAGCCAATCGAATGGTGGGTTGGCACAGGCGTCTGTGTTTGCTTGCCGCCGTCGTATGCCTTTGATTGCTGCGGGCACTTGTGCGCAAGATCGCGACGCGACTGCTGCCGTGGTTGCCATGGTACAGTCATCGTGATGTTTGAGTTGTGGTTTGTGGTTTGTGGGTTGCACTGGAAGTGCGTCCCCGACTGAGATCCAAACACTCTGCAGTTGCGGTTCACGGCCTTAAGAAACATCCAAAAGTCCTAATCCCCAAATTTGCCTTATCTTATACTCATCGTGCATCCTTATCTTTGTCATCCTCATCATATGTTTTATCTGACACCTAGCAACTTTCACTTCAATGTGTTACCTTCCGTTCACCCCCTCCTAGCCTGACTCACATGACATTTTAGCATCATTCTTCATTCACAGATTCTTGAGGGGACGAATTTGTACCGCGGGCCAGCGGCCACCCCTGCCCTTCCACTGCCTGGAGCGGTCGGGGCAACGACGCTTCACAGCCGGAAGTTGGGGCACGGGAAATCTTACAAAGCAAGGACGCTACTAGGGGCGCTCCTGACATTTCTAGTAACAAGAAGAAGCTACTCGGAACAAAGGGCATCGCTACTAGGAGCAAGGACGCTACTAGGGGCTCTCCTGGCATTACTAGTAGCAAGAAACTACTAGTCACAAAGGGCATCGCAACTAGGAGCAAAGACGCTATATACTAGGGGCGCTCCTGGCATTTCTAGTAACAAGAAGAAGCTGCTAGGAACAAAGGGCATCGCTACTAGGAACAAGGACGCTACTAGGGGCGCTTCTGGCACTACTAGCAACAAGAAGCTACTCGGAACAAAGGGCATCGCTACTAGGGGCAAGGACGCTACTAGGGGCGCTCCTGGCACTACTAGCAACAAAAAGCTACTCGGAACAAAGGGCATCGCTACTAGGAGCAAGGTCGCTACTCGGGGCGCTCCTGGCATTACTAGTAACAAGAAGCTACTAGGA